CCCAACCAGCTCTCTCCATCGTCGGCCTCTCTCTCGGGCACTGCGGCTGCATCGTCCTCTGCAGCAGCCATTGCACTGTCCTCCTCCTCCTCTTCCTCCTCGTCTGCTGCCTCCTCGGGTGCCTCCTCCCCGTCGCCGGTCTGCTCCTCGTCGCCGTCTTCTCGCCACCACAACGCATCTCACCAGGAGTACCTGAACGCAATATCGACGGCCATCAGCACACTGTCCAAGTCCTCGAATGGCACGTCCTGTTCGATGCGTGTCACCGCCAGCGACGGTCCACTGCACCACCTGGGCAGCGTTCTCAACGGCGTCAGAGAGAGAATTCCATCGGGCTCCAATGGCACTGAATCGGCCGCCAAGATGCTCCTCACAACTGGATCGCCCGTTTAGGGAGGCAGTGCAGAGCAAAGAGAATGCTCTCTTCTCACCAGCCCTTGCGCACACCTGTCTTCTGTTTGCTCTGTCTGCTTTCTCGGCACTACAAATCTGCATACACACCATAGATCTTTAACATCATCATCTTTAATCTCAGTTCCCTCATTGACACATCTCTATTTCTTCTTCATCATTAAGAAAGGAGCCACTGCTTCTTTCTTTCCTTCTTCACCTTCTTCTCCCCGCTGGCCTACCTTTTTTCCCTCATCAGAATTCACACTTTCCTTTTCTTTTTTGTTATTTTTGATCAATTTTTATTTTTTTGCTTTTAATTTACTTTTTTCATGAATCACCTGTTTCGTGGAATGCGAATTCTTATTTTTTGTACATACCCAGTTTTGGTCTTATTGATTTACAACCACCCAGAACTTTGTATAAAAAGAACAGCCAGTCGTTATCTCATTATTATCTCTCTCATCCCTCTTTTCTCTCTCTCTCTCTCTCTCTCTCTCTCTCTCTCTTTCTCTCTCTCATTGTGTCCTTACATCCTCCAGTCAGTCGTTTTTTGCTTTTAAACTTTAGAGTGCTATCTTACTCTGTATTGCTCGAATCCTTATCAGATCAATTGTTGAACATGCTGAACACATCATTTCATTCATTGGATGATCCTTCTCCAACTCCATTGTCATTGCAAAGTGTATTTTGCCTGTTTTTGATTCTCATAAAAACTATATATTATATATATATTTCGATTTATTGCAAGGGAAATATATACTCAAATTAAACTCAGAGTTTTATTTAAAGTTCCGTCACCTTTACAGGTCATCATTATTATTTATCATGTATATTTGGGTTTGCGTCAGTCCATTGCTGAGTGGTATTTGCACGTTGAAAATATAGGCTTCTTTGAGGAGAGGACACTGCTGAATCCAAGGCTTAGTCATCTGTCGGTAGCATTCTTCTCGTTTTTCCGGCGAAACAGCACCAATCAGCTCGTAGTCACAGTCTGGACAGCCGTACAGAGACAGTGCTACGCGTATTTCATTCAGACTGGGAAAAGTGTTGCCAGGCTGAAGAATGAGCATCTGCTTGTGAGAGGATATGCCGCCGTACAAAGAGAGAGACTTGACGGTGGTCAGAGACTCCAGCAAAGGGTCAGTGTCATTGGTATTCTCATTCGCACTTTTTCCCTCATTGCTTCGACTTGGGTCTTCAAAGTAAATGTAAAGTCGAAGATCGACTAGGTTTGACAGTTTTGAAAGTGATTTAAATAGAAATGGAATTGATTTTTGAGCGACCGTCGTCGAAAGAGTGATCAAAGAAGAGAATTTAGTTGAGAATTCTTCGAGGTGGTACCTGGATAAGTGGAATGCGTTAGAATGACAAAAAGGCAAAAAGAATGCGTTTTTTAAATACTTGGCAATTTGATGTGAATTTAGGTGAGTGAACTTTTTTAGCAGTGAAGAATTCATTTCCAAATATTTTCCCATACACTCGGCGCTGTAAATTGAATTTCTCAAACCAACTTTTACTAATTTTTCATTTGATTGAGCGTATCGCAGCAGTGAGTCTACCAGCGAATCGGCTCCATTCAAAGAGTAGAAATAAAATTCCTTCAACTGTGCCAGACATGGCAACTCTATCTGCACATCTAAATTGTCATCTTCCAGTTCTTCCGACTCAATTCCGAGTGTCAATTGGTTGTGAATGTCGAGTGTCAAGTGGGTCAGTTGAGGTAATCTATTGATGAGAGCCACTATGCGAAACAGATCAGAGGAAATTATATTTCTGGCAGTTAAGCTGAGACGATCGGTGAGGGAGAATCTGATCCAGAGTTTTAAAGATACCAGAGTGGCAGACCATGCTTCCAGCAAACAACACAAGTGTCTTGATAGTGAAGAGTCAATGTTGTTAACTGAAATCTCTAAACGAGCACAGTTGGAATACTTTTCCACTAAACTCTTGACGGTACTTTCATCAACACTTGGAAGCTCTAGAGGTGCTTTGGATGTCCCATTAAGTTCGACAATCATCGAAGAGTTGGTAGGGAAAGAAAAGTACGAACTATTGACTAGATTGTAAGGCTGTTCTCCAATCAGCAGAGTGAGTATTCCTCGACGGGTGAAGATTGTCTGCTGCAGCGTGGCCCAGTGATCGCTGACTTCGGAAATTGTGGCGAGGTCACGAAGAGGTAACCGGTCAAAGATGTGCAAAAGACAAACATCAGGCAAAGAGGTGATCAGTAGAGAAGACATTGTTGAGTATGATTTGTCTCCTAAATGACAAAATGTTTCCCTTTTCTGAGCAATGTTAGTTTGACACAGAATTTACCGTTTAGGAAAAGCTATTGCCACTTTTTAAACGTTATCTAAAAATAGACAACTCAGGAATTTGGCTACAGTGCCAGACGATATTTTGCAAAGACTTTGAACTGAAAGAGAAATATTGCTTAATTGCTGGTAATTAGTTTAAAAAATCGGCTGGTAATAAATGAATAACAAAAAATGGTAAAACTTTTTGATCAGAGTTATCAACGCTTTTGACGACGAAAAAACTGGATGTTTAAAAAATAAATGAACTATTTTTCAACCGTCCAATCGCTACTTTATCTCTAGCAAAACTTTACGCTATAAAAACGTAGCAAACACTAGCATAGAGAAAGAATCTTACTGGATTTTTTGAGAAAACTGTTGACGCACTTTTGAGTCTTCAAACCGTGCGCCACCTTTACACTTTTACCCTCGCTTGTTCAGAAACGTAGACTAAGCAGTGCTCCTGCTCCCCCAGTAGGCAATAAATTTTATCGCTGCGAAGAAAAGCAGACCTTCGAATTTACGGAGACAGAACAAAGGCGCCACACTTCCCTTCCCTCGCTTTTCAGCAAATGTCAAAAGCGCTCGTAGCGCCACTTTACCAATCAGTGGTGGGCTGTGAAGAGCACACATCTCTTGCCGGCTGCTTCAGATGCTGCTTGCAAACACAAAAGCTGTCAGGTTTTCATTCTCTCTTCAGCTTATCAATTTGCACTTGTTGTCGCCTTCAGCCACATCAGATCAACCACTTCACCCGAAATGGGCAGAGCAACGCGTGGATCGGCAAAGCCAAAAAAGAAGACGGAAGTTAAAGATAATGACTTGATTACCTCTTTGACTGTCACCCAAAGTCCACTTGCACAAGCAACTGAAGTAAACATTGATTCCGATTTCGATTTCGAACTCGTTGCTAGCAACTTTGATAATGACACGGTTGAACAACTGAAAAAGTATCCAAATGTGACAACATTCAGCATCCACTTTAATAGCTTTGACTGTGATGATTTGCTGGAAGCTCTTGCAATTTGGAAAAGCAAAATACAAAGCTTGACTATCCATATCACTGAAAATAGAAATTTTGATTTCGAAGAATCTCTGGACAAATGGAAAGTGATTTTAACCGAAGCCCCTAAGATATGCACTGCTATCAAATGTCTTTATGTCGAAGATGCTAACATTTGTAGCTTTGTCAATAATAATCCTTCAAGTTATCTCAATTCCGCTGACCAATACTTCAATATTCCCAAAAAGCTGAAATTTGAGTCGCTTTACTTTGGATTGCCACTTGCAGATTTTCAAAGCGCTTTCACTCAGATGAAGTCAGGGCAATTTAAGAAACTCACCAAACTATCAATTTTCAACCTGTCCGACGTCCAACTGAAAGCATCCACGCCATCATTCCAGCTGCCTCAGGAGGTAGCCAGTAACCTCACCCATTATTCCTCAATCCAAGAGTCCTTTTTTGAGTCATCAACTTTTCGAAATCTCACTTTTGATTCCTTAACCCATCTACAGATCAAAACAATGCTTCCTCTAGAGAAACTGTTTCAGCTTCTGGATGTCAATGTTACTTTTCCCAAGTTGCAGTACTTGAGTATTGACAATCGTGCAAACTTGGACTATGGAGTTTTATTTCTCGGAAATAAATCACTTAAAAGAAAGGTGCCTGATGATGAACGTGAAAACCGTGATTTCATTCCAATTTTTCATCAGCTGACTACGCTGGAGATTTATCACCCTCCTCACGTTCCACTTTCAGTGTCATGGTCTCAGTCATTTCCCAAGCTGGATGAGATGCATCTGAAAACAGGCCGCAATGAGCCCATATTTTGCTGCCATTACTGCATTGAATCTGCCAATTATACTGAATGCCACAAAGAGTTCTACAAATCTATTCAAGAATTGGAAAATGTGGACGTATATTACAATGGAAAGTCTGTTTAAAAAGCGTTTCTTTTGCATTACTTTACTCTTACAGGGACCAAGTTTTTTTACAATTTAATATTTGTAAACCATGTGATCATTTACACTCCTGCACGCAAATATTTTTATTTTTATATACACAACCTTATAAAATACCATATTGGTTTTAAGTTTGTTGGATATTTTTATTGTTTGTAAAATTGAAAAGTTGTATAAATAGTAAATGAAAAAATAAATAGAAGACAGTGTTACAATGTGGCCGTTTAGTAAAATACGTAAAATAGAAACAACAGGATCAAAAAAGTAATAGCCACCACGCAGAAAAGAAAAGTTCCATAGAGTGTAGACCTTGTACAAAAATAATCCCAGAGAAATGAAGATCCAGACTTAGACGGTATCCTCGCAAGACATCAACAGTGGATTGACGTACTCGAAGCCTTCAAACTCAGATTGGTCAATTTGGTTGATAATGGATCTGAAAAAGAAAAGAAAAGTTTAGTTAGTCAGAGAACGTTAGCAAAACACACAAGCTCTTACAAATCATCAGGTGTCAGCTGAACCGGCTCATTAGTAAACTGGGGATCGAAGTGTTCTAAATCTCGGTCGCTGCGCATTGGAGGCACATAGGGTGGCTGGACTTGTTTTGCTTCAAGCAGTTCCCAGTCGATGGCTTTGAAGAACTGATGCGATTGAATGTCTGAAAAGCCAGTCTTTGGGTGGCACCCTAATCGTTCGGCTGGATTCTTATTGAGGAAACCTTTCAGAACTGATTGGGCTCGCGGGGTGATCGACCGAGGAATGCGAATCGTTTTCTCGAGAATCACTTGAAACAGGTAATCTTCAGTGTTCTGATCGGGATTGTCCGTCTGCGAGACAATGTCAAATGGCGACCTTCCGGCCATCATTTCATAGAGGAGCACACCCAGTGCCCACCAGTCCGGCTCAAAACCGTACTCTTCACCACGAAGAATCTCAGGGGCAATGTAGTTGGGAGTTCCACAGAAAGTTCCCGTACGGTCACCTTCACGAATGCCCTCCTGAATGAATGATAAAATAGATGCATAAGTTTTAATGGCACCGTCCACCAAAGCAATAGGAAAATGTTACCTTGCACATGCCATAATCAGTCAGCTTAACGTGACCTTCATGATCCAGTAGAACGTTGTCTAATTTCAGATCTCGGTAAATGATGCCTGCAAGGAAACGGTCAGATACCATTAATGTCAATCATTGCAAATAAAGCCATCAATCAGTCTACTATGAGCAATTACTGGCAAACATACTTCTTCTCACACTATCAAGTCTTAACACATTCACCAAAGCACACCTTCGAGCAATTACACCTCCAGGGCCAACACTTTTTACCGCGCTAAAGTAGCACTGAAAATCACTTACCTCGTTCGTGTAAAAAGTTCAAAGCTAGACATATCTCTGCAGCATAAAATCGCGCATTATCCTCCGAAAGTCGCCGCTGTCGTTGCATGTGAAACATCAAGTCGCCACCGCGAACAAACTCGATGACGAAAAAGAGTCTGAAGGTAGAAAAAACAAGGCACTCTTTAGAAAAGGCAACTAAAAGGAGGAAGAAATGTGGAAAAGAAAACTCACCGGCTTTTGGTCTGAAAGCAGGAATGCAGCCCCACCAGGAAGGGATAGTTGCTGGCAGTCTCAAAGACGTGCTTCTCCGTCTGCACCCAGTCAATGTCCTCGTCGTCAGTGACCAGCTCCTTTTTGATGACCTTCATTGCGTAAATGCGCTTCGTTCGTTTCAGCTCCACCATGAGCACCTTCGCGTATGAGCCACGTCCAATCACTCGCAGCAGCTCAAAGTCCTGAATGGAGTACTGGTGCGCCGAGCTGACTGCTCCGTTGCTCTCCTCGGTGATGGCGTCCACATTTTGGCCCGAGCCGTGTCTTCCCTCGTCGCCAAAGTGGCCCACTCCGCCTCCACTGGCCACCGGTGGGTGCTGCCGTCGGTGAGTGGCCGGCGTGTGGCCTCTGTTGTTGTTCAGTTTGATGTCGTCCTTTGAGAGGATGGTAATATCGGCGCCATTCATCTCGGTGCCGGCTGCCGTTCGGATGCCATGTCCAGCCTGTGGACTGCTCTCACTACTGTGCACTGAGTTGCCGCCACTCGCCACATCAAAGGTGCCCGTGCAGCCGTCTCGATACAGCTTATGGCACTTCTTGTGTACCATCAGTTTGCACTTGAGGCACTTGAAGCCCTGTCGGCCGAGGCCCCAGATTCGATCACGGCAGAAGACGCAGAAGGCTTTGCGGTTGAAACGCTTCGCTTGATATGCGTGCCCGTTCACATGGTACATCTTACGCCATCGCCGAGCGCCACGACGGTAGATGGATTCTGCAAAAACGAATACATTAGTTATAACAAGCATTCGCAAACATTTACTGTGCACACTTACTATCTTCACCATGGCATGGAAGTCCAGCAATTGGAGGGACGTTGGGAAACACTGCAAAACACAGAGCATTAAAACACACACAAATAAGTACTGCCAAGCATGTAGCACCTACCATGAATCTTAATCTCTGAATCTTTATTAAGCTCATACAGTCGAATGGCCTCCTGTAGCTCGGCTTGTGAAGAGATGACACACGGATCGCCTAGTTGGAAACGAGGAAAATAAAAGAGAGAGAGAGAGAGAAAAGAAAATCCTCAAGTTAGCAACGTTGCAAACAGGGAAAGTGCCGATAAGAGGCGACAAAGAGGAAGCTGCCATCATAGACCGGCAAAAGGGGGGGGGGCAGTAGTGTTTGGGGAAACATAAATGAAGGGGCAGAATAGAGCAAAAGCTGTCGAGAGGAACACAACAAGCAAACTTTCTCCTCCTCATCCTCCTACTCTAAACAAAAACACCGACCGGGGCAGCAGTAGCACTTGAAAGTGTCCATCGTGAAGTCTTCTGTACCCCTGCACGAACTGCCTTGATGACAGCATGCCTCAATCCTCTCCATCGAACTGGGCAGTGAGAGCTGTGACCGTGAACGCCCCCCTCTGTGGGCAGTCAACGTCCCCTCCATGGGGTGTTCACTGGCAGAACGACATTTGAGTCGCTCAGCACTGCCTGACAGGTCAGGCGACACCGCACACAGGCAGGCGTTTAGCTGTACTGATGACTTCACTTTATGTTTGTCTTTGTTTGCTTGCTTCGATTTGTCCTTCTCCTCTCTAGTGTTGCCTCGGTAATTAATTCGCGGCAGGTCATTCAATGTCGGAAAGTGGTGCACTGGTGAAGACGATGAGCCCTCATCGGCAATGCCGTATTTTGCCCGAAGAGCTTTCCGCTGTTTTTTAAGCTTCTGGTAGACCCATTTGGAGATGGGAAAGTTATAACCACAGGTAAAAGAAGGTGCATGGTAGCTAAGGTCAGAGTCAGAGTCCGATGATTCAGATGATGAAGAGGAGAATGAAGATTTCATTGTGATTTAGTTGAACGAAAATAGCCTTGATGTTTGGAGTGAGATATCGGCTTTTTGCAGTGTAAAGGCAGTGGCAGTAAGTAGAACTATTCAAGAAACGCTTCAGACAAGAAAACCAGGCAAAACGAGGGAAACCAGCTCGAATGGCAAACACCAAATGGCGATGTTTACTAATCGCTTGGTGTCGCGACCACTCATTCACTCTCACTTGAACCACTGATTTCTCTACAAGCGAGACATCGTAGAAAAGCGCTCAAATCTAATCAAGAGCTAACGATGAGATAACGAACGACTATGCACATGTTGGCTAATGTACAAAACACTCGATAAAGAGAGCCAATTTCGGGTAAATTGAGAAGAGCTTTCGGGTGGCATTTCAATAGGAAAATAGCGCCTAATTAGTTTAGCGCCTTTGAGAGAGGGAGAGAAAACAAACACAACTAATCAGGCTTGGAGCCTCGAAAGAAGGTCAGCAGCTTATAAATAGGCAATAAATAGAGGTGGTAGAAAGAGAGAGAACCTTGCGGGTATTGAAAAGGAACGAAAGGAGCAGTTGGAACAGTTAGGTTAATAGCTGATTAGATAACATTGTACATAATTCAATAGAGCCTTTTCAGAGACAAACTGCTTTTTCATTCATAAAGCAATCACTAGGAGATTGCCCCGGTTAGTTTAAGGACTAGAATAATTAATAATTTTTGTCAAAACATCTTACCATCTTCATCAATGAACTTCATGGTAAAAAGTTGATCAGAGGAGAATTTGCATATGTCACGCATCTCTTGGCAGAGTGCCTCCAAGCTGATGATCGGCTCAATGTAGATGATCATTATTTCACTGAAAGATGAAAATGAAAATTAAACAAAATAAAACTGAGGCTTCTATTTGCCAGCACACACCCATTATAGGCGGTTTTGACGCGAATCTCGCTGTCATTAGCTGCCATTTTAAAGCTGCTTGAGTTTGTAGAGTTGAACGTAGCGTCTTGGATACGCATTTGATGATCACTTTTACTATTGAGGTGAGTGAATAAACAGATAGTTTTTACAGGTGAGCACAGGTAGCACAAATGAACTTTGGTAGAACTTCAAGCTGTATGGTTGAGTAACTTTTAAAGGGCGATTACTCTAATTTTAAAATATCAGAGAAGATGAACAGGTGGTTTAAGTGAGACAGGTGGAGTTTGCAACCGCATCTTCTTTGCCGGTTAATACTTTGCACAACAATTTGAATAACTGATAAGAATACTGCGTTCAAGAGGATTATCCTGCATCCTAGACTGGCTTAAAACTGTAGATTTAGTAGACGAAAACACATTATACTGAAATGTCAAAGGCTTTTTACTAGCACTCTTATGTTTACGGCTAAAAATGATCAGTTGAGTAATGCATTTTTGGGCGATTTATTGGTAGCGTGTTTAGAAGAATGCGAGTTTGAAAAGAACCCCCCAAAAAGGGGCGAATAGTAAACTTTTTCTACAGACAGAGTGATTGTACTTGTTTCGTGTTGAGGTGCGCTGCTACCCTCGGTTAAATCAAACTCACTAGAGCGCCACTGCAAAAAGACCCCTTCTTAAAATACGTATATATCCGCCCTGCTCGTTGTTTTTGTCAGGCCAAAATAACGTTAATCNACGTTGAGGTGCGCTGCTACCCTCGGTTAAATCAAACTCACTAGAGCGCCACTGCAAAAAGACCCCTTCTTAAAATACGTATATATCCGCCCTGCTCGTTGTTTTTGTCAGGCCAAAATAACGTTAATCTGTCAGAAGACTTCTTGTAATCTCTTCTGTTGGGGTGAATTCTCCGGTGTCACTGATGATAAGATAAACTACCACTACCATTTATTATCATCCTCTTCACAACGGTGTTTTGGACGCTGCAAAAAGGCCGCCTCGCTTTTCTGGTTAGTAAGCGGACATGTACAGCTGTGCAACTTGAAAAGTGACATTTTCACGCGACACCCGATAGTTTTTTATCACCAAAGGATATTTTATTAATGAGCCAGTTTCACAATTCTTCAAACGCCGTTTTTATAGAAGTTACAAAATCGTCTTTATTAAAAAATCAAAATAAACAACTGTTTTTCTTCACCGAACCAGCACCACTGTGAATCATCGTTGAGAGATCAATCACTGCATCCGCTGCTGAGTGTATATGTTTCGCCTGGCCGTACATTGTTTGGGTGTTGGCCTATCACCACTGACTAATCAACTCCGGATGGAACGGCAGTCGAGCGAGCAGACAACATCGACGTCAGCTTGATTTCGGCCACTTCACTGGGCTGCTCTGAAAGAGAGAATTCTTCACGATTGAAGAACTTCCAGCTGAAAGTCTGCAAGGATGGCCCAAGCACAGGACGTCGCCCAGGAGCGCGTCACACTCAGCGATGCCATCAGCAATGTCGATGTTCTCGATGAGCTCGAGTTGCCAGATTCTCAGCCTTGTATTGCCGGTAAGTCTTGTTGATTTTCACTACATTCTCTAATGTCTTGAACGCTTTCCGTCTGTGTTGCAGGTGAAAACTGGTCAATTGTGTACCATGTCAACTTTGATACTAACTTTGAAGACCGCAATGCGTTTGTTTGCGGTGTGGCCAAGTACATTGAGGAGGCTACGGTTCAGTGCCACCTCAATGTCATGCTTGATGAAGGTATGGAATATCACCAAAATAGTTTGAAGAACATTGTTTTAATTTCAATTTAAACTTCAGGCGAGAAGCACGCTGTAATGCTCTACACATGGCGATGCTGTTCTCGGGCAATTCCACAGCCAAAGTCCAATGAACAACCTAACCGCCGCGACCTGTACGAGAAGATCGTCGAAGTCCTCGGTCCTGAAGTAAAAAAGCTCCTGTCTTTCATGTACTTTCAGAAAGCGGCCATTGAGCGATTCTGCTTTGAAGTTAAGCGACTATGCCCTAGCTCCGGCTCTGGCCCAGGCTCAATGTCGGGCGGTGGCGGCGACAAGGACGACTCGAAGAAAAAGGCTGGCACTACGTTCGTTTCTGAAGCGTACTTGCTGACACTGGGAAAATTTATTAACATGTTCGCCGTTCTGGATGAGCTCAAAAACATGAAGAGCTCCGTCAAGAACGACTACGCGACATATCGAAGGGCTGCACAGTTTTTAAAAGTAAGCATCAGTCGTGTATTTTTCGGTATATTTTTGTAATAACATCTAATCTTCACCAGGTCCTTTCTGATTCTGAGTCTCTCCAAGAATCACAATCGCTGTCAATGTTTTTAGCGCTGCAAAACAAAATCCGCGACAACCTCAAGGAATCACTAGAGTCAATTAGCGGCTATGAGGAGCTCTTCTGTGACCTGGTGAATCTCTTTACGAACATGTACGAGTGCAAGCAGTTTGTACTGCCATCGGAAAAGCATATGCTGGTCAAGGTGATTGGCTTCACGCTTTACCTGATGGACGGCGAGAACTGCAACATCAACAAACTGGATGCCAAACGACGCATAAGCCTTGCGCGGATTGATCGCATCTTTAAGGCGCTGGAAATGGTGCCACTCTACGGCGACATGCAGATTGCGCCCTTTCAGACTTACATTAAGCGATGCGCCCACTTCGATGCGAACAAGTGGCCAACGTGTTCAAACCAGACAACCAACTCCTACCAGAGCGACATTCTGCAGTACCTGCCCAGCATCAGAGACGATTACGTGGTGTTCATTGCCGAGCTGAGTCGCCACTCGAACGAGGTGACGACCACGGTTAAGGACGCCCCGAGGAGTGATGCTGAAAATCGAGAGCTGCTAAAGTTGGCGCTGAAGGGAATTCAGTTGTTGGCTGATTGGACTGCTCACGTCACTGAACTGTACAGTTGGAAGTTGATGCATCCCACTGACCCACATCAGAATAACCTCTGTCCTGCTGAGGCGGAGGAGTATGAACGAGCAACGAGGTGAGCAGCCCCTTCTCAGTTTAGTCGGGGTTTCAGTTTTACCAACTATCTTTGTCTTTCTCGTTAGATACAACTACTCCTCAGACGAAAAGTACGCTCTAATCGAGCTGGTCGCTATGGTGAAAGGTCTGCAGGTGTTGATGAACCGAATGGAGGCAGTCTTTGTCGATGCCATCCGGCGGGCCATCTACGCCGATTTGCAGGACTTTGTGCAGATCACTTTGAAGGAGCCACTGAGAAAGGCGGTGAAGAACAAGAAGGACGTCGTGCGGACGATGATCAGCTCAGTCCGCGACACCTGTGCCGACTACATGAGGGGCTTTGATGAGCATCGAGTAGTTGCCGGTGGAAGAGGGGGAAACATGGAGGTGGAGGTGAAAGTTCCCCGAAGGAATGTCGGCCCGAGCACTACCCAGCTCTACATGATTCGCACACAGCTGGAATCGCTGATTAGCGACAAGGCGCTCAGTGGAAGGAGGACGCTTCGAAAGGACATTGACGGACAGTACCTCATCGCCATTGACCAGTTCCACAAGCATAGCTTCTTTTGGAGTTATCTTCTAAACTTTAGCCGTAAGTAGAGAAACTTCCCTTTTAATTGGTTATAACCTTGCTAACTAATTCCATAGAAACTCTTCGCGAGTGCTGTGACCTCAGTCAGCTGTGGTATCGTGAATTCTACCTCGAGATGACGATGGGCAAGAGAATACAGTTTCCCATTGAAATGAGCTTGCCGTGGATTCTCATCGATCAGATACTCACGGACAAGGACGCTAGCATGATGGAGTAAGTTCCTGACAGATCAGGTAGTTTGAAATCTTGTCGACTAATGTGTTTTTTGTATCAATAGGTGCATCCTGTACCCATTGGATCTGTACAATGACTCTGCCCACTACGCACTGACCAAGTTTAAAAAACAGTTTCTCTACGATGAAGTAGAGGCCGAAGTGAACCTGTGCTTTGATCAGTTTGTCTACAAGCTCTCGGAGCAGATTTTTAGCTACTACAAGCAGATGGCCGCCAGTATTACCCTTGACAAGCGATTTAGAACTGATTTGGCCACGCTGGGCGTCAACTTTCCCTGGCCAAGCTCGAATCGCTATGAAACGCTGCTGAAGCAAAGACATCTACAGTTGTTGGGCCGAATGATTGACTTGGAGCGACTTATTGCCCAGCGTTTGAATGCCTACATGCTGAAGAGTCTGGACTTTGCAATCAGTCGATTCGAGTCGTGCGATATAACGGGAATCATTGATTTGGGTATTTGGTTTTGCAAGTCTTTCTAAAACACAATTTTCTAACACTCATTCTTACAGACATGCTGCTCCATGTTAACCGAATGACGCACAAGTTGCTGACAAAGTACGTCAAACTGGACGCTTTTGAGTCGTTGCTGAGTGAAGCGAACCACTCGGTCTCTGCCCCCTACGGCCGCATCACATTGCACATTTTCTCCGAGTTGATGTACGACTTTCTGCCACGGTACTGCTTCAACAGCTCCACTCAGCGATTCATCAAAATGCCCGAGAAGGCGCCAAACTTTAGCTCGACCGACTATGCACAGCACCAGCGAGACCGGCCGGCGCTGGGCGCCAATGTGCCCTACTACTCCTATGGCTCTAAACCGCTAAACTACGCCTTCAACTCTATACAAAAGCTGTACAATGGATTCGTTGGGGCGCCTCACTTTCGAGTGCTGTGTCGGGTGCTCGGATACTCGGGCATTGCCGTGGTGATTGAAGAGCTGCTGAAGAATATTCAGGGGAAGATGCAGACCAGTATTGCCAGCTATGTGATGACCATCAGACAGTCGATGGACGCCAAGGACGGGCGGCCACTCAGCACGGCTTGTAGTTCAGAGCAGACCTTCTCGGCGTTGCGTAACAAGTTGGCTAAGATTATACAAAACTCCGATGTAAAGACGAGAATTTTTCAAGATTTTAGAGAAGTGGGAAATTCATTGCTCTTCTGCCTGTATATGGAGCAGGCACTGGTAAGTGCAAATTTTGCAAATGGTTAGAAATTAAAAACTTATTTTGTCATGTCGTTAATAGTCCCAAGAAGAGGTACTGGACCTTCTTCAAGCAGCCCCCTTTCAGAAGGTTTTTCCGCAAATTTTCGTTAAAGATGTCGAAAAGCCGGAGGTGAAAATGAAGCGTTTGGAATACAAGTATGCGTCGCTGCACGTGGCCAGTAATGTGGAAAAGTATGGCACGCCAAGAGTAAGTAACACTGTCCTTGTTTTCAAACCGGATTCTAAACATTATACTCTTTTAACTTTTAGCAAGCATTCATTGCCCGTGACGCAGATCTGCTCACCAAAGAACGACTTTGCTGTGGTTTGTCCATCTTTGAGACGATCCTCCAGCGCGTCCGTGAGTACCTCGAAAAAGACAAGTCACTGTGGATCGGAGATGAGAAACCAAAGAACAACATTATGCACGTCGACGAATGCGTCGAGTTCTACCGAATCTGGTCTGCACTGCAGTTTGTCTACTGCATTCCCGTCGGCGAAGGCGAGTTTACCGTTGAGCAGCTCTTTGGTGAAGGGCTCAACTGGGCCGGCTGCACATTTATCACCTTGCTCGGACAGGCGAGGCGCTTTGACGTGCTTGACTTTAGCTATCACCTGCTGAAGGTGCAGCGATTTGACGGCTTCAACGAGGCGGTTGAGGGAATTGTGAGTATAGTCAGAAGTCGATTACTTTATTTTTGAAATTCATTTTTTCTTCTTCCAAAGCCAATCAAGAAGATGGTCGATCGAATCCGTCGCTTCCAGGTGCTCAACTCGCAAATTTTTTCAATGCTCAACAAATACCTCACTTCAGCCTCACTGGATAACAATCAGGTTGAACAGGTGAAGTGCTTCAACCCACCTTCCTTCCCAAAGCAAAGTAAGCATCTTGTGATTTTATTTAAAAAGACTGCGATCTTATTTGAATTATTTCTGTTTTTAGTGAAAAACTTGTCCTCCTCTCAGGAGCCGCCGATTTACATGAGGACTGGCATTTTGCTTCAGCAGAAGCACCAAGACTAAGCATTTTTATTATTTCAATCACGGTTCCTCTTAGCCTGTACATAGCTTTGCATTTATATATTTTATTTCACCTTTTTTATTTATTTCTTATGTTACATGTTTTGCTTGCCCAATGCGTCGAGCAATCACAATCACTTGACTTCAACAACTGGTGCTAAAACTACTTCACTGACTAGGCCACCCTTATTTTTGCCCTTGCTGGGTGTGCTTACACTGTTCAGTTGCCAACAACCATTTTATCAATTGCATTTTTCTTTAATAAAACCAACTAGAAATGTTTGACTTTTCTCTAATTTGAGTGATACTGTTTGAGCGGTAAATGAGAAATTCCGGTGACTATTCAAAAAATGGCATCTATTTGGACAACAGTGGCATGACTTGTCCTTTTAGTGAAAGTAGAGCCGATTTTTGTTCACTCAAGTTTTGGCAACAGCTCCATCGCGCACACATTTGTTAGTTGTCAATCGGCCGACTTTCCTGTACTTCTGCAACCATGGCCAAAGATCTTCTTGCGCCCCATCTCAAGAGCATTCGTGTTCCATCAAGTTCCGATCGTGTCTACAAGGATGAGTGTATCTTTTCCTATGACACGCCGGTAAGTGCTGTGCGCGTATACGAGTGCTTTCTTTTATTATTGTTTGCCAATGTTTTTTCAGGATTCGCCAGACGGCATCTACGTGTGTATGAAAACGTTCTACGGTTTCGGTCGTCCGTTTGTCGGGTATTTTCACCAGAAAACAAACAACTCTGTTTTCTTGAATCTGCGTCGCATTGCTCATCCAGTTATCCAAGTGCCTGACTCTGATGAAGATGCTAGTAAGCCAAAGGTGACTCGACTTGCTTTGAACGTTGAGGGTGGCTTTCAGACAAACAAGCCGCAATTTACCTATGAAGACGTTAACACCATCGTGGTGATGCCCGGATTTGTGGAGATTTCACTCGACCAGATGAATCAAATGGACTTGCCTGAAGTAGTTGTCATGTCACTCACTGGCATACTTAGCGCCGATTCGGCTTCGCGTCAGGCGGAGCTCGAGGCAATGAAAAACACCTGGGAAGGCGAAAAACGACTTGTTAGCAAGTGAGTTTTTTTATTTTTTATTAACGAAAACTAACAGGACATGTCTTGTTTCTCTAGGCATGCCGAAAATCTCGTGCAAATCGACAACGGAGTAAAAGTGTCTACTGATCCGAGTAGCTGGAAGTGCCAAAAGTGCGACATTCGCGAAGGTCTCTGGCTCAATTTGTCTGATGGCTCAATTCACTGTGGCCGCAAGTACTTTGATGGCACTGGTGGAAACAATCACGCTGAAGAGCACTACAAAGAAACCCAGTACCCGTTGGTTGTGAAACTCGGGACAATTAATAGCCAAGGCGCCGATGTGTACAGCTACGCCGAGGACAACATGGTGGACGATCCCAAACTTGTCCAGCATCTCGCTCATTTTGGCATTCATGTCGCCATGATGCTGAAGACAGAAAAGTCCATGCTCGAGATGGAAATTGATCTCAATCAACGCTACGACGAGTGGCGCATCATTCAAGAGGATGGATGTAATCTCAAGAACATTTACGGTCCAGGATTCACGGGCATGGCCAATCTGGGAAACAGCTGCTATTTGAACTCTATAATGCAGGTGATATTTTCAATTCCTGACTTTATTCTCGACTTCTATCGCCAGTCAAAGTATCAGCTGTTTTTTGAGGCGAATCATCTCGATCCGATGAACGATTTGAAAACTCAGCTTATGAAACTTTCAAGTGGACTGCTTTCGGGAGAGTATTCGAAGCAGTCGCGCATTAGCCCTTCGGAGCAGCAGGGCATCAAGCCAACGATGTTTAAAAACCTCATTGGTCGTAATCATGCCGAGTTTAGCTCTAAACGCCAGCAAGATGCTCAGGAATTTTTGCTTCACATCATTGACGCCATTGAGCGAATGCCCCGACTTGTGAACACCACCAATCTGCCCACTGATTGCTTCAAGTTTGAAGTCGAGGAGCGGATGCAATGCGAAGCCAGCAAAATGGTCAAGTACAAGTATCGTAGCGATTTTCTTCTTTCTTTACCCATTCAAGAAGTTCCCATTCAAAACAAGGAACAATATGAAGAGTTTTTGCAAACTAAAGCTGCTGTTGAGGCAGCTGGCGGAAAAATGTGAGTTCCCTTTTTAATGTGCTTTTTTGAACAATTGTTAACTCAATTTTTTATTTGCAGCGATAACGATCAGGTAGTTCGTCCAATCGTTAAGATGACTGACTGTTTAAGTGCCTTCGCTGCGGAAGTTCCAATTTCGGATTTTTACAGTTCAGCCATCAAAGGCAAAACTGTTGCTAATCAGTAAGTTTAATTAGCTTAAGTGATATATTTAAACAATGTTTTTAACACTTTTTACTAGACGCGTCCGTATGAAGACTTTCCCAGAGTACTTGATTGTTCACATGAAAAAGTTTGCTTACGATGAAACCTTCACGCCGAAGAAGCTGGACGTTTTTCTCGAAGTGCCTGATGTGCTTGACTTGGAATATCTGCGTGCCACTGGTCTGATGCCCGCTGAGCAGCTCCTTCCCGATGAGGACGCTGACAGCAAACGGCCTGCTGCTAGTCAGTCTTTTGAGTGCAATGCCGAGTTCTTGGCTCAGCTGAAAGACATGGGCTTTGATGAGAATGGAGTTCGCCGTGCACTGTACCACACCAAAAACGCCGGTGTTGAGCAGGCCATGAATTGGGTCTTTGAACACATGAACGATGCTGACTTTGCAGCTCCCTTCGAGGTTCCTCAACAGGGCGAGGCAACTGCAGTGGAGATTGATCAGGAGGCGCTTGCCTCCTTGCTGAGCATGGGAATGGAGGAGCGTCACGCCCGTTTAGGCTTAAAGTTGAATGTACGTTGTTGAGCGTGATTTTAACTGCAATCTTTTGCTAATGTCATTTTCTTCTCTTCGCCCACAGAACAACAATACCGAGCAAGCTCTTAGCTGGATCTTCAACAACGCGGGAAACTTGGACACTATTGAGCGTCAGGAGGAAGAGCGTGCCCGAGCTGCTGCTTCAGTGCTGATGACGTACCGAGATGGCCCACCGAAATATGAACTCTTTGCAATGGTGTCCCACATGGGACAGTCGACGCTTTGCGGTCACTATGTGGCCCACATTCGCAAGACCATCACTGATGATGCAGTTGTTTTCAACCCCAAAACTAATAAGGACACTGTGCCGCCTTCGGATGGAAGCAAATCACCGGTTTCCGCCCCACCTAGTCCACTTCAAATGGCCGGCCAAACTGAATGGATCATCTTTAATGATAACAAAGTGAATATCAGCGAGAAGCCACCGATTCCATTTGCCTACCTCTACATTTACAAGCGTATCACCTCTTAAAGCGAACAACCAAGTCAGGCTCAAATATTGCGAACGCCAATCTTTAATCTCTTCATCAAGGTTCTCAGTTTGAGCAGAAAAATAATATTTTCATACTTTATCAAAACGATCACAGTTCAGATTGCTGATCTACTTTTTTCAGCCATTTTCTACCTTTTGTACACACCTTTTGTAAATCGCTAAACCGTCCCTAATGTTCAAAGAAACATTTTTGTAATTTTCTATTGCTCCTCAAACTAGGACAACACTTTACGGCGTCGTTGTGTATGTCCTCTTATAAATGCTGCTCCAAACAACTGTAACACATCTGGCTGCCTTTTTAATTAAAACAATACACAAAATGCCAGCAAAAGTCCTGCTGTTCAGGTGTTTACACTTGTGTGCAGGTCAGATCAGACCGAGTAGGACAACATTTGCTCTGCTTCAGCATCTGATTTGGGGTGGTCGTCTTCACCGTTTGAGTTGTTCTCCGCCGACATGTCATCCTCCTCCTGCTGCTCCTCTTCCTCCTCGTCGTTGTCCATCTCGTAGACAGCCACCCGACTTCCTGCAGAGGTGGCGAGACAGGCAACCTTGCGAGTGCCGCTAACCGCCAGTCGACTGCTCACTGGTCCTTCGCCGAGATACCGCATAAAGATGAGCTCAGAGGAGGACTTTTTCAGTGTGCTGAGGAGGTCTTCGTAAGTTTCTTCCGGTGAATTGGAATCACTCTTCGCCTCAGTACCGGGAGAAGAGTCGCCGGGGGAATGATGTTCTTTCGGTGGCTGCACTGGTTGACGTTCTGTTTCGTCAACTTCCATCTCCAGTTCATCTGCGTCGCCTTTCGGCCTCAGGCGCACCACCTCAGCAGTGACGTCGATANTTTCGGTGGCTGCACTGGTTGACGTTCCGTTTCGTCAACTTCCATCTCCAGTTCATCTGCGTCGCCTTTCGGCCTCAGGCGCACCACCTCAGCAGTGACGTCGATAGAGAGTACACTTGGAAAGTATTCAATCTTTTCCCACAGCTGTCGATAGGCAAGCTGAATTAAAAACTGGTGTCCAGTTTGCAAGGCTGTTGATTTGGATGGAGTTGTGGTCTTTTTGGAAAGCACTGAAAATGATCCACTCTCCTCTTCCGATATCATCTCTTCGTCGGACATCAGAGACATGTCCTCCTGTGTGGATGATGGATCAGCCACGTCTTTCTTTAACTCTTGAAAATCCTCTCTCTTTAAATCACTGGTCAGTACGACAGTAAGAAACTCTTCATTGTAAAATTTAACATCATCTACTGCCAGCTTCATCATTGTACTCTCTTCCTGAACAGTGAACTCCACCATTCGTTTGTTCACCGTTTTCTTTTCTCC